AATTCCCAGCATCACTGCTGTTGCACTCTTAAAATTTTTTACTTAAGTAAAATAAGGAATACTTGAACATAAACAGTGTAATATCACAGCCACTGATCTGATAACTGAGACAGGTACTAACCCAGTAACAGGCATGGGGAGTAACATATACAGAGTGGACACATGGATAAAGGGGTGATTCATGCCTCTGGGAGGCAGAGTGGCAGGCAATTTAAAATGTATGAATACCTTCCTTCCTTCCTTCCTTCCTTCCCTCCTTCCTTCCTTCTTTCCCTCCCTCCCTCTGTCCTCTTTCCTTTTTCCTCTTGTCTCTATCTCTCTGTCTCTCTTTCTCTCTGTGTCTGTCCTTCTATGTCTATGTCTCTGTCTCTGTCTGCTTGTCTGTCTGTCTGTCTCTCCTTCCTTAATGTTAATCCTTCCTTACCCCTCCCCTACACCCAGCCCAGGTGAGTAAAAAAGGATGAAGAAGGCGGAAAAGGAAGAAATAGATGCCCAAGAAGAAATACTTTGGGCAAAAGGGACAAGGAACAAGGCAAAGTGAGAAAGAAGGAGGGATCTCAATGTCGTCAAGGACAAGGACTCTAATATGTTAAGATGCTGAAAATAAAACCATCCTTAAATGGGATTTGCTGATAATTTTCCACATGAGAACTGAGGCTGGAAGGAGAAATCTAATGGGGTTTTTACATACATGACCTCCTTTGTTCCTTACACCTACTCTAGGAATTCAAGCCACACTTAACAGGAAGAGAGCGAAGCTCAGGGAGGTGGGCGTCTTGCTCAAAGTCACATACTCAAGTGGCAAAGCCCAGTACAGAGTCGGAATGTGTTTGGATCCCACCTTGTCCATTTAGAAGGGTAGGATGTTCTTCTTTTTGGACTCTGGGGCCCTAAGAAGAAAGAGGAACTGAGCGCTCAATGAGGTGGTAAATCATGCACTTTGCAGTGTAGTTTCTTGTTTCTGCATTAAAAATAAATATTCCTGCTTTCTTTCATCAGAAGGGAAATGACTGGAACTGATTTTCCATGGCTCTTGGCTTGTCTTTCCTATGATTGGGTACATGTCTCAGAGCCCTTCTGTGTGCACAGCCCCAGCAGGAAAGTTACTAAGTCCTTGTCACAGAAATATTTTCCTCCCCTGTCTGGGCCAGGTGGCCAGAACTGTGCTCATGGGCTCTGCTGGTCCAGCACAAGGAAGGCCAAGGGCCAGACTGAGGAGCAAGCTCTCTACCATCCTGGGCCCTCCTTAAAGGCACTATGGACAGATTCCAGCAGGGCACTTGTGATATCAAAACAACCTGGCTCCACTCTCTGCTTTTTCACATCTAAATTTCCCCTCCCTTTGGGGCATGAGATTAAAAATAAGACTCCTGAGCAAAGCGAGCAACAGCCCAGTCTTTGATTTATGCTGTTACTGGAACTGTGGTCCTTGAGAGCAATTCCATCCCCACCATAATGAGGGCGAAGATCCAGTCAACTAATAAATCCTTCAGGAGTGTTTTCTGATTCCCTGATGAACTTTTCTTTAAACCATGATGCTCAAGAAGGAATATCCTCAAATCACAGGATTCAGACACACATCCATGATGGGATCAGTCAAGGCCTGGTAACATTATGACAGAGAACCCAAGTCCATACTCAGTCATGATCATGACACGTTACTCCCACAAGCACCAAGTACTCCTGCCACTCTTCATTCCTGGGATGATCTTTGGAAAGGGAAGGGAGAGAGCTCAAACCTATCTGTGGTTCAATCAGAAGATGCAAATAAGGTCAAGTTTCTTACAGGCTTGTGAGATTTCCCTGGAGAAATTTCTTCCTCGTCACTGCTGCTGCTGGTGCATTTGGTTTGGAGGGTGGGGTTGGCCTATGGAGTGGAGGCGCTCTGTGCAAGCCCCTCCGTTCCCCTCTGATCTCCAGCTGCATGGGCAGCTGAATTCCTTTTGGGGATTCCTTGAGTTTTGGGACTTTCATCCAGGGGGTGATCTCAAACCCAGATGCACATGCACAAAAGGATTCCCTCGAGTAGGTGGAGTTGGTGGGCTGCTCCTTTGTCCCAAGTAAGGACCCTGGATCCAAATGCCAGGAGGGATTCCCTTAGGGAGATCCACTGGGGAGATGGGGTCTGGGATCCAGACTCACTCAGGCCCTGCAAATGCCCCACTGCAAACTGGAAGGAAGCCATCTCATACAAAGCCTGCCTCCCTCGGGCCAAGAGAAGTGTGTGTGTGTGTGTGTGTGTGTGTGTGTGTGTGTGTGTGTGTGTGTGTAGTGTTGGACATCTCTCACAGCTGGCCCTCCCCTGGGCCAAAGGACTTTGAAGCCTTCCCTTCCAACTTGCCTTTGGGAAGCTAGCTGTCTGGAACAAGGTGACAAGTGACACTGTAGGTCAGAATGTGGGGCTTCACCTTCCAGCAACCTGAGGGTGGATCAGAGAATTTATAGAGCTTCTCTTGCTCAGCGCAGGTTGGAGCATGTGTTTTGAAAGTTGCCTATTTTTTTAAACCCTGAGATAGATAAACACTGCCGATCAAAGCTCTATGCCAGTTCCCTGAAGTTTCAAAAGACTGGATAGTATAGGGAGCTGGCTTTCCAGGGCTGAAAAGGAGGGAAGAGAGAACCCCATGCACAGCTTTCCAAGTGCCAGGAAATCTTAAAGGAAGCAGGATCTTTGATTAATTACCTCACACATGGGACAAGGAGGTGAGCATTGTGTGAAAGGAGTGTAAGATTGGAGGCCAAAATTGGTGCATTCGCTTTCCTGTAAATTTTTTAACAATTACTTTCAAGCTAAATGTTACCCTCTTGATCTGTAGCTTTCATACTGAGAATGAAGACTGAGGGTGGGGGGTGGAGGTAGCAAGTTTGTGGGTCTTACAGGAAACTTTGTGGATAAAAACACAGGTTTCTCCTAAACCATGAAAAGTGTAAATCCGGAGGTTCCAGGTTACAGATCAACTAAGCTTCCCTCTCCCATGGTGTCTCTCAGGGTGAGCTGCACACTACGGTATTAGAACTGCTCGTGAAGGTGGAGATTCCTCAGTTCTGCCCTGCAGGATGCTGGGTAGCATCCAAGGACCTGTGAAGAAGTGCTGGATCACTGATCCCCACCCCACCCAGCTCTGTAGCCCCATGGCTGCAGGTTGTCTGGAAAGCAGCACCACCTGGAGCTGAGGCTGCCCCTGTGCCAGATGCTCTTCTGCCAGGTGTCACCCATTACCTGTCCCAGCTGCAAGGCCCAGGACCTCAGGCAGATTGGCTCCGCCCTACTGTTAACAGGGCCAGCTGGGTGGATAAGGGCTCTACCCACTTCAGTGCCTTTGGGCTTGCTGGCCACAGCCCACCCCTTCATGGCAGGATCTTTCTCTCCCTGCTGCCTGCCTGCCCCTTCTGGGCCCGTCTTGGGCCTGTTTGGCTGTTGGCACCAAGGAGTCCATGTTGGGTCCACTCTATGTGCAGCTCATGTCCTGGTGCTTGTAGTCCCCAAAGCCTTTGGCTATCTTGAAGGTTTGCGTGAAGAGAGTTTTATTTCTCTCTCCACACAAAGAGGTCCAAAGGTTTCCACAAGACTGTGACAGGTAGGTCACCACTTTCATCTACACCCCTGAAATAAACACTCCCTCCTCTGCATTCCCCAAAGGCTTGGAACTCGCTCTGTCCAAATCATCTTCCAATAATTCTCATCCACCTCTCCTCCCTGCCTAGGTGGCGATCTCCTTGGCGCCAAGGACCGTGAGTTACTCATCCCTGCAGCCCTAGCAACCAGTGTGGGCCTGATGATCAGGCACAAACATTTATTGAGTGCCTACTACTTGGCAGGCACTGCGCTAGGGGCAGGGTGCCACTTTATGCAATGTGTACCTCACCACTTTATCCTCGAAACAACCCTGCAAGAGCCACTCTTATCAGCCCCTTGTGAAGGAATGAGGTCAGCAAGGCCAAAGAGTTCAGGTGACTTTAGCAAGGTCACAGGGCTGCTGGGTGGTTGGGGCAGCTGGTCTCCAAAGACCTATGGGAAGAAGTTAATCAAGGTTTGCCGAATAAATGGAGACATAAATAAATGAAGGAATGCATGGCCGTGTCCACAGAGACACTGCATTTTACAGCTGAAACACATTTAGAGACCATTTAGACCAAAACTTGATTTTATTTTTGGGGAAACTGAGGCTCGACACAGTGAAATGGGGAGTGATGGTAGAGTATCGTGAGTGGGAGCGGTGGTGTGGCTGAGACGGGCTGGGTCATGACACAGCTGCCCCCTCCTTCCCTGAGAGCCTAGCAAGTCATTCCTCCTCTGTGGCTCAGTGTCCTCATCTGCAAGACGGGGGTGATAGTAATTTATTTCACTGTTTTATGGTTAGGACTAAATGAGATACTGTCAATCTCTTAGAACAGTGCCTGCTACATAACAAGGACTTCTAAATTGCTATTGTTACTGGTAGAATCATAGCACTTCTGGCTGACCACAGTCTTAGAAATCACAAATCGAAGTCTTATTTTATCAAAGATGAAACTAGAATTTATTTTCACATTCATTTCCAAGACTGCACTTGCTAGAATACCATTGTTTAAAAGAATAATGGCAATCTCCTAATTCCCTTGTGTTGCAAATGAGACAGCCTTACCCAGAGAGTTGGATCTCTTGCCAAGATTTCTACTTCATCAGAACCCGGTTGAAGGTGAACTGGGGAACAGAGAGTCCAAGTATCCGAGATTTAAGTTCAGCAGAAACATTCCATGGTGGAGCTCAAGTTCAAGGCAAGTAGGTCCATTAAGATCCAGTTCTTTCATATGACAGGTGGGTAGAATTACAGAATTGCACTGCAACCAGGGATCTTCGAGGTCCACCCTGGAAGAGGGCAAACTCCCAAGCCACTGAGTGCTGAGCTCATGAATCAGCATTTGGGCACAAACCACCCAGGTCTACACCCCAGCCTGTGCTCACAATCAACACCCTTCCCCACCCTCTCCCCGAACCACCCAGCATCAGTGCTCTGTTTGTTTATTTTACCCCTCATGTGCCTTAGGTGTCTTTAGAAAAGCTGATGCCCAAACCCTAGCCCAGACAAACTCTACAGATCTCTTGGGGAGGGGCCAGGCATCAGCGTGAAAGGAGCCAAGGTGATTGTAATGTGTGGATCGACTGCAACAGAGCCCTTGTTGGAATCTAAATGCAACATAAGGTAATTCTCCTGTTTTTTCTCATTGTGCTTTATTGTCCATTTTCATAGCACTCAGCAAGACCTGAAGTTCCACATTTGTGTAAGAAATGTCCTTTCTCTGGAAGTAAGAAAGTTTAGCTCACTTTAGTAGACAACTAGGAATATTTTTACACAGGCACTAGAGTAAGGAAAAGGCAAAAAACAAACTAAACAACAATAATAACACAGCAGACACTGACCAAAAAAATCAATACCATGACTTGGGCCAAAAGAGTGACTTTGCCTAAAATACTACTGCTCCTCTAGGTCCAGTCCCTATATATTTATTAAATGCAGCTTGGGGATGGTCAGCATATTAATCAGCCCTTTGTAAGAAATGCTAAAGACGGAGACAGAGTTTATGGCCTTGAATTTATTGGGAAAACAGAGTTCACTTATAGGGAGTTAAAGCAGGATCCATAAGTAAGCCATGGAGTGTTATTTCTAATACTCAAGTGTGTCGACTGCTTACATACACAGGTCAGACTGGCTGCCTAATTTAGGTTCAGGGAGATGCATGGACCAGATCAGAGGGAGCTTGCATTATGCAGTGGCATAAGTGGGGAGTGGGGGGTCTTAGTAGAAGAGGAAGAGGTCTAGGACTTAAAAATATTTTTGACCCCACAAAGCTTCTGGAAGTTAAAACAGTCGCTGTTCCCCTGGGTCTTGTGTAGAGAGCAGCCCTAATCTCTGAAGTCAAGACAAACTGTGTTCTTGGATGTGATTTGGGGGTTCAAATGAGGAGACACAATTGTCCCTGTGAGCTATAAATACAGCCCTGCTGACAGAGGTCAACTGGCCCTTTTCACAGACATCTTCCCTTGTAAAAGAATCCTGAGGTGCCAGCAACTGGGACATTGCATTCAATAATAAAATCCACCTTCCCAAACTTAGTGCGCTGGTGGTCCTGTGTTGTGGTCCTTGAACCATACCGGCCGGATTCAAATCCCAGCTTCTGCCATTTAATGGCTGTGTGACCTTGGACAATTTGCATACCTTCCCTTTGCCTCTGTTTCCCCCTCTGTAAAATGGGGCTAGTGATAATACCTCACTCATACTACTGTTGCTATGCAGATTAAGTGATATAATTTATGTAAAATTTCATAGGAAATGCTACAGAGGGGTTAACATTATCTAGAAAGCAAACCTAGTCTCAGGGCCATGCAATCTGCTGTCAACATCTGTTTGCTTATTCAAAAGACCATGCAAAATAAACTGCAACTCTGCTAAGGGATGGCACAGCAGTTGGTGAAGGACAATATAACCTTAGGCCTTTGGAGAAGGTCACAGCAGTGGCCTTAGTAGTGGAATATAAACTATCATAAATAAAGATGGTCTAAATGGGCTAAAGGAAGACTATGCAGCCAGGAACTTCCAGAGTTCCCTTGTGCTGATGCTTGGTCATTAGGTCAGGTGATGGGAACACTGAATTTAGAAGACAAAGTTTACAGGGTTCGTGTTACTTTTAAACAGCTGACATCCCTCCTGTGCCACTGTCATGAAGCAGAACTGGAAGACAGTACCATGGGGGTGGCTTGGTACATCCCATCACTGCTTTTGGAACTGTACCCTGAAACTCAGGCTAAACACTTCTATTCATATCACACCAATTCACAGGAAGTGCCAACGTGAACAACACATAGGAAAGCCATGTGTGGGACAGACCAAGCTGCAAAAAGCTGTAGCAGTTCTCCGGAAGTCAGGGTGACATTAAGAACAATGTTCACCATTCCCTGGAGACCAGAGCCGAACTATGCTGAAACTCTCAGAGTCTCATTTAGGAGGAGGTTTTTGAATCACTGAGGTCCCATAAAGAGTTTGGCGCAAGCTGGTCTCGTTTACAAGTCTCCAGGCCCAGAGCCGGAGTGTGATGGGCAGTGGACCCTAGCCTGGCCCCCAGGCGGCAGCAGGAAGGCCACCTGTAGCCTGTGTCCACTCCGGAGCAGCATGTGGGGCACCCAAGCACACAGTGTGGCCAGGGTGAAAGACTGACAGACAGTACCCGGGTAACACTTCTCAAACTTCCTCATCTATAAAAAATACAGTAATTTTGGAGAGCTTTTCCACTTCTAGAATTGGAAGCTAAGTTTGTTCTATGAGTGCAGTTTAGATGTAACTTCTCTAATCCTTGGATAGAACAAACAATCCCCCCCCCCAACACACACTTGACGCGAGGAGTCCCCACTATCACATTACTGATGATTCACCTTATAAATAAACCCATCTGCGCTTCAAAGGGCTTTTAGACTTTTATTCTAAGGCAGCCAACTCTGAGCACAATGCCAGCCTTCACTATTTCTCAGTTTACAGGGAGGACCAGGGGTCCAATCATTCTCCAAATACCATAAAATCACCCAGTGGGAACTTGGATGAAATGGAATGATTCCCTATACCCAAGAGTAGGGGCTATGTCTCGTTTATAGCTATAAATCCTACCCTAGTTCAGGTTTTGGCATATGCACGAGGACTGTGAAATACTGCTTTTGGAAAGAAAGAAAAAAATAAAGAAGGAAGATAGGATGAATGAATAGGCAAATGAGAAGTGACCCTGGAGAATGCTTCCCACATTGGACCAGGCTACTTCTTACCCAAGGGCATCTTTGGAACTTGGGTCCCAGGGCTGAAAACAAGGCCTGCTTTCCGGGGTAAATTTCCAGCCGTGCTGCTCACTTTCCTCCCCTCTGAGAGGACTCCAGGTTGTTGCTGAGGACCATTCCAGGACTGAGATGGCCCAGGCTGTGTTGGTGCTCAGCCCTGCACCAGTTCTAAGCCCTATGCTTTTTTTAAGAACTTGATTTAAATGAAGAAAGAAATTGGCTTATATTTTTAGCAGCTCCTGCTACTAAAACTCATTTGACAAAAGTGCCAAAGGGACAGTTAAGTCTGAGTATGATTTTTTTTTCCGATGGAGGAGGAAGAGGCTATAATTTATCTGAAAATGACGGGTGCTTTCTTGGCCTGGGGACATTATTCTACCTGCTTGCTCTCTCTCTCTTTTTTAAAGACATAGTCTTTGTTTCCCCCTTCCCCTCAAATTTCAAGCTTAAGATATTTATTGCCCTTAGCTTTCATTCTCAAGCTTTAAGGCAACCACAGAGAAGAAAAGGTATACAGTCTCAGATCAAAAACTCCATAACCTTCCATTACATTTTGGAATTAGAGGCATCTAATTGGGTGGACAGAAGACCCCCCCCCCCCGCCAGATGTACGTATAATGTCAGTCAGGGCTCTGCAGGACTGAAACATTAAGCCCAATCGGAAAACAGTATTAATGCCGCATCTACATGTACTGACCGAGGTGTATGATTTCCAAGTGTCCCAACCCCCCTTCCCAGGTGTCTCTATTACGAACGAACTTGCATTAATACCTATCTGAGACTTTTCTCCCCTGCAGGTGTGGACACAGTTCCTTTTGGTTGTTATCCAGGCTTAAGACATTAGTCTATCAGAAGTCTCTGCTAAAATACATATGCATCACTTACGAAAGTGACGCGTTCACTCAGTACAGGTTTAACAGAAATGACTTCAAGCGATGAGTCAACATGTAGAGGTGGAGTGCTGGGGAAAATGGGAATTCTGAAGAGAGGAAGGTTGGTGAGAACATGTCTGGTGCATATCAAATCCACAATGAACCTGTTTTGTTCTGTTACTTGGAAATGCAGTTATGAAAGGCAGTTAGGTTTCCAGAAAACAGCCTGAGAATATGTGTTAGCCATAACATACTTAAAGGGCAAACCTAAAGGGTGTCCTTACCAGAGAGGCGAGGTCACCCCCCAGCATCCCGGAAAATTCCTTTACAGCACTCAGACAACCAGACAACAGATAGGGCTGCTGCTTTCTATGGTTTTTGTTTGCTTCTTTTTGTCTTGTGTTGCTGGGGACTGAACCCAGGGCTTTGGCACTGAGCTACATCCCAGCCTCTTATTTTTATTTTTTATTTTGAGACAGGTTCTTGCTAAATTGCTTAGTTGCCCAGGCTGGGCTTGAACTTGTGATCCTTCTAAATCAGCCTCCCAGGATGATGGGATTATACCACTATGCCTGCCTGTTCTCTGTTTTTATAAAACTGCCAGGTTTTCCCTCTCATTCTCATTTGCTACCCCTCATACCATGGCTGGCATGTATCAGCTGCTCAATTAATGCTGGATGAAATAAAAAAGATTTATAGACATTGTAGAGAAAACTAGTGGTGATTATGTTGAGTGTTTCATAGTGGAGGGTCGCTAGGGTGTGGGACAGGCAGTGCCAGGAGTGGCAGAGAGAGAGAACAAAGTGAATAGACCTCCTGAAGGAAAAAGGAGGGAGGAGAAGGGAAAGGAATTGGGATTAGAGGAGCCAGCCATGGAAGAGGTGGCAACTGTGAGCCCAGAGCCCTGGATGTGGCCCTCAGAGAGACAGCTCCCAAGAGCACCAGGTGGGAACAGCCAGGATATTTTATCATAACCTCAGGAAGAAAATGATAAAAGCCGTATCTTGGTTAATAGCTTCTCCAAGGACCACCGCTTTACATTTTCCTTCCCTCTTTCCTTCCAGATTCCCGTTGATTTGGATTCTCTCTCATGTTCCGACAGCACCAGCTCCTCTAGTTTCTTTCTCACCTGTGGAAAGGTGCGGAATCCATTTGCATTCATTATGGTCTCAGGGTAACTCGTTTACTTTCATCACATAATATCCAAGGAGTTACTCATTTACTGAGATCACTGAAGGATTTCCAGGAATCCTGCAAAGAAGACATTAGGCATCCCTTCCCCCAGTTCTAGGAGAACTGAACACTCCGTGGGAGTGGAGTAGGATGCTTCAGGGGGTAGGGGGAGCACCTACCAGAGAGGTGAGGTCACCCTTCTGGGCCGACATGGTCCAGGCTCCCCTGGGTCCCTGCCAGGCTGGAAGGAGGAGGCTATGTCCAGGGCAGCTCTGTAGCAGGAAGTCTTGTTCTACCCTGACATCTCGCTATACCCTAGGGGTAGCAATGAGGCCTGGCCTTTGAAACTCTGCATTTCATTAGATATATTACTGTTAGTGAGGAGGGGCAGGGAGGTGGGGGTGTGGCTTTTGGGGGCCTCAAGAGCAAACCCCAAGTTCAGTCAGCTCTCTAGAGGCCAAGTTGAAGCAGATCCTCAAGTCTGCCATAGCACAGTCTTCTTGGAGCCGAGGGTTACTTCTCCCTGATAATATTGAAACATACAGCTTCAGATCCGCGGATTTGTCCACTCCTCTTTTGGGTATTTAGGGAGGAAGAAGAGAGACACCCTAACCTCCTGATGAATGTTTCTCAGGTATTTTTTAGTCAGATCATTTCCTAACCCTTGAACTCACCATCCTGGCAACCCACTACAAATCACCTGAGATTCCATGTCTTCCCATAACGGTATGTCACAATTAATTGTGGGAGTGTCATAAGAAATATCCATGGTGGATTAGTTTAAAAATAACCTAGCAGGGCTCATGTTTATTTTTACAAAAGACCACTCTCAGGTATGGCTCCTGAATTGGGAAAAGAGTGAAGTTGCAGCTAATGTAGTAGGAAATACACAGATCCCACAGCCTGAACCTGCAGAGCTATGATTCCTGGTTCAGCACCAATGGTCCACATGCTTGTGACTTTGCTGAAAACTATTTTCTTCTACCACCAAAAATATCTCTGTGTTATTGCAAGAGACAGCTGGTTAGGACTATGGTCATAAGCCAGGAACAAAGACTTTAGCTGGGGCATGGTCACCTGTAATAATTTCTGCATGAAATAATGCTACATTTCCTAGCATCTCTCGCAGCTAGGTGTGACTATGTGACTAAATTCTAGCACACAAGATGTAAAGGTGAGTGAGGTGTGTAACTCAAGTGCAACTCTAGAGCTAGGGTGACAATCTTCTCTCAAACTCTCAGTTTGTCAGGGACTTTCCTGGTTTTCACATTGAAAGTCCCATGTCTTAGAAAATCCCCTCAATCTACTTGCCTCTTTCCTTAGGCCATTTGCTGGCATATGGAATTGGCCATGCAGTGTGGGGAAAACCCCGGGAATGACAGAAGGAACCTGCCAGGCCAGCCTGATGTAGCACAAGTGCCATACTAGCTCAGACTTTCATGTGAAGGATACATCCACTTCCATCTTGTCTAAGCTACTAGCTTTTGAGGATTCTAGCACACTTTAAATAGTGTACCCTAACTAATGTACATAATGTTATTGATAATTTCTTTGATGAAAAAAATACTGGGGATGGGGAGAGATGATTCATCCCAATTTAAATATAGTAGGGGGATGGGCCGGGGATTTAGCTCAGTGGTTTCGCCGCCTGCTGTGCAAGTGCAAGGACCCGAGTTCAATCCCCGGTACCAAAAAAAAAAAAAAAAAAAAAAAAAATATATATATATATATATATAGTAGGGGGATGTTTCATTTCTCTGTTACATTTCATTGAGAAAAAACAATTGTTGCAGCAAAGTCTGATTCTCTGTCTATTATATGTCCCCCTTCCTTATTCTGTCTATCTCTGGTCCCTGCTATCCACCTCCAACCTCGTCTTCCTGCTGTCCCTGACTGCAGCCTGCTGGTTCTGAGATCCTTTCTGCCCCATTGCTCCTCAGGTACTGTTCTCATCGACTCTCTCTTCAGCTAACCAACCCATCAAGCCCCATCTGCTACATCATTTTTTGGTTGACACGATTTGTGATTTGTCCTTTTTTGGAATCTGGTGACATCTGTATAGACTGGCTGTTTAATCACAGAATCTGTGTGCTGTCTTTATCATGTGTTTAAGTCTTATATCTGGGAAGACTGCATGATCCAGGCAGGCAGAGTGGTGGACAGAACGTGGCTTAGGACTTGAAGATCTAGATTCCAGTCTGGGTTCCAACACTTGCTGCAAGGGTGGCCTGGAGGATCAGACTCCTTTCTATAGATGCAGCGATTGAAACGTTCTCCTCCTGTGCTCTGGTTGGAATTAGAACCCTCGAGTGTGACCACCACCTATCAGTATCAAGTACCAAGCTTGTTCTGAGAGTCTGTCCTTTCTCGAATCCTCCACCAGCATGGCTCACTCACCACAGTGCCAGGGATGTGTTGTGTGGCAGCTCCATGGATCTTTGTAGAATTAATAAATGAGAAAAAAAGGTAAAAATAACATTTCCTCAAATAGTGTGAAATCGCGGAGAATAAGGCTCTAATGGGATAGCGCCTTCACTGAAAGAAGGCACGAAATAATGAGCAAATGTCAAACTGAGATTTCAGACCCAAGTTTTCATTTATGCGTGGTTTTAAGAGCTTAATTACTAATTAATCTATGGCCACCAAATCTGTCCACAGTGCTAGAAATCCAAGGTGAGTTCCTATAAACAGTGCCCCCCCCAACTTCTCAGTCTTAACTCTGGGTCTCCACATGAATCTGAACTCAAGCCACAGAGTCTCCAGGTTCATTTCATGTCAGCCAAGAAACTGCCTGGACTCAGCAGGCCCCAGAGCTGCTATCTTCAGGTGCTCTATAGTTTAGCAGATTACCAAGGTGATAACATTCAGCTGAAGACTGCCTACTAATGGAATGATAAATGTGGGAAATTCAGGGAGGGCCCTTCAACAAACACCAACTGAAGGATTAGAAATCACCTGGAAGCCCATGGGGGAAGAACACAGGTGCAGGTTTACCTGACCGTGGCCCAAAACCCACCACTGATGGAGAGCTCGTGTTCATCAGACGAGCAGAAGACACTGTGATTCCAGGACCTCAGACACAACGATGTGCTCTGAGCCATGACCAGTGCTCTTGGTCCCTCCTCCTTGTTGCTCTTTGTCCCCTCTCCCCCTGCAATGGTGAGCTTTCCCTCCAGACCCTCACCCTTGCCTGGGGGTCCTTCTCACCAAACTGGCTTCCCATCCTCAGAAGAGAAGCCAACATGCTCAGCATCCTGAGCTGGAAAGGCTTGGTAGGTACTTTCCTGAGCAGTATGTGGAGTTTCAAAGGCACAAGAGTCTTAGATACAGGGGATGGCTTGTCGTTGTAGAGCCCAAATGCTACATACTGGGTGGGGCAGGGGGTGCTGGAGACAGAGAAGACCCTCGTTATTTCAGAGCTGCACCATGTGGCCACTGTCTTCATGGTATCTGCACCACCTGGTGCCAGAACTCTATGCAGAAGCTGTTCCAGTTCTGAAGCCAAGGGGCCTCCAGGAGGCTGAGCCTGGCTTGGAAGCTCTTGGGCCATAAGTTAATAAGAATTTTAATAAAAATGGAAAGTATAGCCCTGGGCCACGGTATAATCTCTCTCTGGGTTGCTGGTGTTCCAACAGTCAATCATTTATCCTTCTGACAGTAGGAAAGTGGAGAGGGTACATGAAAGCTTCGTGGGCCCTGGAAGTTCTGAAAGTCTCAAATTTGTAGAAATGCCCGCAGCACCAGAAGTGGCCTGCTAACACTGGGAGACAAATAGCCCGAGCACAACCCATGTCACAAGTCAATTTCTATTCACATTTAACTTTAATGACGACCAGCGATGTCAGTGTATTATCATCTCTACAGATGAGACTGAGGATGGTGGGGGCAGGGGGCGATACTCGGTCTTTCGGCTCCTACTTCCCTCCATGAATTCCTCAGTAGCTTATTTAGACATTTTAAACTCGAACCGTCTGTGAATCCCTATGAAGCTCTGCTCCATCTTATGATACTCATATACAACCCGGTAGGTGGCTGACCTGTGTCATTTGATTCACCCTAAAGGTAGAAAACATTACTGATCTTTTTATTTTAAGCTCCAAAAATTGGTATTGGGATGAAAATTTACCACCAACTTAAAAGCAAAGATCCTCCCTGATATTCATCTGTTTTTGCCTGGAAGACTCAAGTCCTGCGATACTAAAGATCGAGATTAACACACAGAGTGTCCCCCGATCATTTATTCTATCACACTGACCTCTTCTAAGATGTCTAGAAGTGAGTAGAGGTTTAATGGTTAAAGTTTGGTCATGATGGTTGACAGACAAAATTGGTTTGCATTTTCCTACAGCTGAAAATATGGTCTCCATGGCATAATAGTTGTTCAGCTGGTATAAATGCAACAGCCTGTGGAAAAGGGGGGCCCCTCTACAGAATGACAGAATGGATTACCCCCCCCCCCCCAAAGTGTTGCTCTGCCTGTGAACTGAGGCAGGAGGCAAAGCAGAGGATCTTCGTTCTTGACGCTGCAGTTTGGAACATTCACAGTGACAGAGTGAGAAGAGTTCTGACCTCTGACTCCCACTATCCTTTCTCTTCCTCCACCTGCCCCTAAAGCCATGGCCCCACGGGCTGCCTGCTCAGCAGGCTCGAGCCCCACACCGCACACTTGCCCCGGGACAGAGCAATCCCCAACATCCACCTCTAGTGCGGAGTTCCCCCTCCCCCTGTCTTAACACCCACTCTTCTAGAGCTCCCTGGATGTTCCCCCCACATGCCCAAGGAGAGGCTCCAACTCTCCTTCCCAACCTACTGCCCCTGGTTTCTCCATCTCATCGGCAGACACCGCCACTCACCCCGCAGGAGAACTGGGAACCGTCCTGAAAGCTTCCCCAAGGTAGCTCACAAGTTCACGCATCCTCAGGGGCTCAGCCCCTAACATACTCCTCAGTGAGCACCTGGACTCTGCCTCCTCATCCTGGCTGCCCTGAGCCAGCCCTCTGAGGGTGGTTCTCTTTTCTTTTTTTTTTTTCCATTCTATTTTATCTTATTAATACATGTTTATAATCCATGCAGTTTACAATCATCTTGGGGAGTGATTACATGTACATATTGCAGCTTGATTTTTTAAATCCCTTTCCCGTCTTTCCCTCTCTCCCCTCCTCCTCTGGTTCCCCATCATCCTTTTCAAACTTGTTGATACTATTTGTTTTGCCACAAGTTATGGCGTATCACGACGGTCCGAGTGGTACAAATCTGACCATGGTTTCCCCCTACTGAAAGCTCATGATCACACACAAAATCCCCATTTAGACTGCCAGGGCCTCTCCAACCTCATCTATGACCTTCCCCCAGGCTCTGTGGAAGGAAACCAGGGCGGAAAAGAGACATGGTAGGGGAGGGGCAGATCCCTGGCTGGTGATCAGCATCCCTGCCTTTCTACCTGTGGCTCCTGCCCCTGAAATGATTTCTTTCTTGCTCTTTCTCCACCCCTGTATTTCCTACTGTCAATACACCGTAATAGGAAGAGGCACTGGCTGTGTGACTGAGGTGACTCCAGATGTGGCATGCAGCATGGCAGAGCTCCATCTGCATGGGCGGGTGCCGATAATTGCAGTGTGGTGAGGATGCAGGTCCATCCATCAGTGCCCAGGACACACTGCCAACCTCGCCCTTCCTCATGCCTGTCAACACCGGCTCGACAGCAGGTAGTACAAGTTGAATATGGGAAAAACAGAAAGCCAGAAAAGCGCCACCTCCTTCCTTGGGGAGAAGCGCCCCCCAATCACGTCCCACACTGGCCTCTAGCCTGCCCTTGGCTCCTTGCTGGCCACATGTATGTGTGCCATTTACCTCTCTAAGGACCCAGTGGCAGGGGGCATAGCCTCCATTGTCTCCATCTGCATGGAAATCTTACCGGGCTCCACCAAGCAAGCTCACATCTGATCACTTTGTCCACGATGCCAACAAACATGGATATATGGAACTCTACAGCCTACCACGCTGCTCATCTATGGGAGATTACGGCATAGCCTAAAGGACAGGAGCTGTCCCCTTCATCTCTGTGCCCACGGTCAGCAGAGGGGTGATGGGTGAGAAGGGCCCTGGTGAACAGACAACCAGCGCCGCCCCGCTCCCCGCGCAAGGCGACCCTCCCTGTCTTCCAAGCTCTCCTCTGTGGATGGATTCAGGACTGCTGCCTGAGCCTTCCATCGCAGTGCCCCAGCACGCCATTCCTCCAGGATCAGACCTCACAGCCTGCCCCGGAAACGAGTCATGTTTATCACCGCCAGCTCACTCTTGACTTTGACCTGCTGATGTAAGCCTGGTCCCCTCGGCAAGAGTCCTGGATCCGGTCCCTTCTTTTATCTCTGCACACAGGGTGACCCAGACCAGGCGAGGGCTTGGCTGGAGTTTTATTCTAGCTGTGACTGCACAATTACAAACATCTGGGACATCATGGGAAAAAAGCTAACCAGCTGTTTCTGAACATGCAGATATCTGCCCTGGGGAAGAAGCCCCATTCTGGCCCCTGCTCCATTGGCCTGGGTGTGCTGCTCAAGGATGGAAGGTGGCAGGTGCTAGGGTCTCCCAGTGGGTACCTGAGGCTGGCAGTGGGGTCAGACCCTCCAAGTCGGGGGCTGTACCTCACCTCTGTGCAGGGTGAAGGCAGACCCAAGACCTTAGAAAATTTCTTTCTGGAAGTTTTTTGTAAAGAAGTGCAGGAATGCAGCAGGGTACTCACAAACACCCCATTTTCCGATGTTTCTTGTGGCTGTGGAAGCGTGGGCAGGTGAGAGGCCCCTCTGCATGCAGCTCCCACAGAACATGCTTTAACCACTGTCACATTGAAAAGCTCAGTGTCTTTGGCTCTAACTCAGTCCCCAGTCTTCTTTTCTCAAAAGGGAGGATTTACACCCGCTCGCTGTTCAGAGCAGTCATTCGACACATCTTTGCCAAATGCTTACGTGTCAGGCACCACAAGGATGTAGCACCTGCCCTTAATGAACATACGGAGCAAGCCTAGAGTAATTATATTAATGATGGTGACAGCAATAATTGCATGTATGTGGTGACCCTTTATGTGCCTCACTAAAAATATCTCTTTGCATTTTTCATTTAATTTATCAACTCATTCTAAAATTCAATACCATTATAGGTTAAATATCCTTTATCGGATACGTTTGGAAGTGAAACTATTTTAGACTTTGGATTTTTTTCAAATTTCGTTGGAATTTTTTGTCTGTCTGTCCATCCATCCATGCATTCATCCACCTATCTGTCTTGGGCAAGGGATGCTCGTTTAAGCATGAAATTCATTTATGTTCATATACTACTTATCTACATAACCTGAAGATCATTTTATACAATAACGTAAGTAACTTTGTTTATGTTGCAAAGTCTCATGGTATGGTATGGAACATTCTACCTGTAGCCTTAAGTCAATGCTCAAGGATTCTGGAGGATTTAGGATTTTGGATTATTGGATTAGGGGAACTCCATCGGTATTATATGCTGGGAAGCTCAGAGAGGTTCTGTAACTTGCCTGAGGAACACAGCTTA